CATCCAGCATTCTAAGACAAAGCACATAGACATAAAGCATCATTTCATTCGCGATCTTGTCCATAAGGGTGAAATTTATGTTCAATATATCTGTTTAAAAGATCAAATTGCTGATATTCTCACAAAAGTCTTATCACTAGATCAATTTGTGTGTTTGAGAACAAAATTGGGCATTTCAGAAAATATACTCTAAAAAATTCTCTGGTCACTCTTTATCGGATGTCCGATGTGTTAGAGCGGACGTTCGACAGTGTTCTTGATCATTTTTTCAGAAAGTTCTGGCTCAAACGGATATGTCGGACGCCCTATTTCATTCGGCCGCCTGACATTCAAAAATTGCGTCTTATAAGAAAGTCCTCTGCATCATTCAGTTCATTCTTACCTTTTTTTCGGACGCAACTCTTCATATTCTCTCAGTTTCAAAATTCAAATTCATCTCTTTTCGGATCAAATTCCAAGAAATTACTTTGACCGACACCATTACATTCTTATTGCGCATTTATTGACCATCATAACTTCTCCCAACTGTCAACTGCACTATAAATCCCAATTCTCACCCGAAATCCTAATCACTCAAATTCACTCTCTATGGACGGTTCAAGCATCCATTGTAGTTCATACTGCACTTTTCATCTTTTGATACTTATTTGCATTACACTCCATAACAAAAAACACACTGCATTGCAATCATGGTGAGGATTAGAGGAGGGTCTGTGAGTACCGGACGCACCTTCAAACTTAGAGATGAAGAGGATAAAAATGTTCAGGTTGTTGAACCTTCCACCAAATCACCCAAAAAGGGATCTGGAACTCGTGGTGAAAAAACGAAGCAGTCTGCAAAGAAGAAACAAACTGCTCGAACTAGAGAGCCATCTGTTGAACAGATGGAGGAGCATCAAATCGAAGAGCATCTAGTCAGTGGCAGTGAAGAGGAACTGGAGTGGCCCATTCAAAAAGGGAAAAAGGACCACCAAAAGGAAAAGGATGGCTCAACCTAAGGAAAGGCAAACTGCTGATCCTTCTGGGAATCAGCAAGCTGCAGAGAAAAATGCTGGGGAACAGCAAACTGTTGAACCATCTACTAGGATGTCACCAAGGACAAGGTCTGGTATCCAGAATACTGTGCCAACTGCTCAATGCAGTAGAAAGAAAAAGCATCCTGCCAATGAGCAACATGAGGCTCAAACTGCAAAGGAACCTACCCCCTTACCCAAGTTCATTGATGATGAGACCAGGGAGAGGTTTGAATGGATCTCACAGAAAGGTTTTATCACTCAGAGAACTATCATTCCTTACGAATTCCGTAAGTTTGACCTTGAACCTGTTCTTAACCTTTTTGAATTCCAAAAATGAACCCATCTTCTGACCATTCCAAAAACATACTATCCTGACATGTTTCATCAATTCTTTACCAACCTTAAGAATGGTAGATCACACACTGATTTTGTTTCACGCGTCAACTCTGTTAACATAGAGTTGAACGCTGACATTATTAATACTGTTCTGGAACTAAAATTGAAAATGATTTTAAAGAAAAAATTACAAACTTCTTTTCATATGAAGAATTTCCTTCTGCATATCATCATTTTCATGTTGCTAAATTAATGACCTATTTTCAAAATCATTTTAATACTCCTGTAATGTGTGCATGGATCAGGGCCCGCGCAATGACCCGGTCCGAGTCCCATTGGGCCCAGTCACACGTGCCCGGGCCAAGTTTTTCAAAGAATCCCTCCAAGCCCTTGTCAGAATTGTCCAAGATCAACATGGAGCCCATAGAGATATTGAAGGCTTGGAAAGAGACAATCAAACAATTTACACTTTGATCCAAACCCATGAAAAATCAAGTGGGCCTCTTTGTGAGTCGGCCGAGTAGGGTCTTAGTCATTGTTATTTATTTAGTTGGACTAGTTGCTTAGTAGAAGGCATGGGCCGGCCCATTTGAAGTCAAGATAGCCGACCTTCCCTTTAGGGTTTCTTTAGGGTTTTTCTTGTTACCTTTAAGCCTATAAATAGGCTAGCTTTGTAAGGTTAAAGACACAAGTCTGATGAATAAAATTCCTAGTATTCTCGCTTTCTTCCTAAAAGAGAATTCGAGCCTTTAACTTGCTTTGGCAAGGGTTCTTGAGCAATCTTGCGTCCTGTCCTTGATTGTTCAATCGACCTATTCCCCTGGAGTATTCACCTTCATCGGAGTGTCGTTCTACCGCTCTAAATTAAAACGTGCCGTCCGTGTTGATTTAAAGTCCGCAATCCAAATGTAGGACAACCTCGCTAGATCCTTGGGCAAATGTGCTACGTGTCTCGAAACGAGTTGATCGAGGAACGTATCATCCTGCAGAGGCGAGATTGGAGGATCTCAGTCCTCAAAAACTTAATCATCTTTTTCATAATTTCGAATTTGTTGGTCCCTATCGATGGTCATAGGACTGATGTCAACAAAATGAAGCTTTACCTGTTCTATTGCTTTCTTGAAAAAATCAGAATTGATTTGATTTTGTTATGTGCAAATTCTTGCTCAAAATCAGTATTGATAGCCGTAGGAAACTTTCCTATGAAAAATTTCTGACTCCTATCTTTGCTCATCTTGAAATTTTCTTTACTGGAAAATCACCAAAAGAAAGTGCATCAACTATTTTCTCCAATGCTTATTTTGAAAGAAAAAATCTAAAATTTTTTGAAGGTCACTGGTGCTACAAGGAAACTGTTTCGGAGTTTAGGAGAAAGAATTTTCATGAAACTCCTGTTACCCCTAAGATTTCTCGTGATCAGTCCATGTTTGTCTCACCCTTTACTATCCATCCTAGAAAGTCAACCGCTAAGTTCTCTTCATCCAAATCTGAGGTCATTTCCTTGCTTGAGAACCTTAGACAACACATCCTACTCCTTGAAAATGGTCTGATGATGACCATGTCATCTGAACAACAAGTCATCTTCATTGACAAAAGAAATTTGCTTGTGTCTCCCATTTCTCCAGAAAATGAAAATGCACACCGAAAGGAGCCAAGAACTGAGCCAACTACTGAAACTACTCCAGAATATCGTGCCTCCAGTTCTCAGCCACAGGATAAGGGAAAGGCTCCAGCAACGGAAGAAGAAACTGATGATGATGATGATGATGATGAGGACACTGAAGAGGAAGTGATGCAGATACGGGTGTGCAACCACTTCAACCTTGGGTCCAGGATAACATTGACGGTCCGATGACAAGATCAACATCCAAGAAGGTGAAGGAAGCTTTAAGAGCCTTGATTATTCACCATACAAGCACGGAGCAGGCTAAGTTTGAAGAATTGATGGACCATGAAGTTACCTTGCTCACTTGTACATTTGAAGTGCAAGAATGATCTCCTACTTGGTAGATTAGTTAGTAGTTGTTTTAAGACTGTCTAGTTTAGTAGTTGTTAGGCGTTGAGTATTTTATTACTTATTGGGCCTTATCGGAAAGCCTTAAAGAGCTGACTCTTTAAACTCTTTATGCGGACCGAATTTCTTCCAGGTTTATGTGGGCCGGATTTTTGCCCTAGTTTTAGCCTATAAAAAGGCACCTCTTGTATGAGTAAAAGACAGAATATTTTACAACCAGAAATCGTGAGGAATTTTCCTTCAAGTTCTTAATCGAACTTACTCTTGAATTCTTGAGTTCATGGCTTAGGATTCAAATCTGACTTTATCGATTAGCTAATCGTGGTGTCTCTTCATCCATCATTATTTGCTTAAGGTTGCTGATTGCCTTTGTGTGTCAGATGTCTTGAGTTCATGAGAATAATCGAGTTCAATTTCCATTGGGAGAAACGATCCAACTCTAATAATTACAAGGTTGGGAGGTTCTAGAAGGGTCTTCCCCTAGGGTTGCTCATCAGTTGGTAATCAGAGCATCAGGTTAATTCTCTTTCAATTGAAGTTGTTCATATCTTATTAGTTTGTGTCTTTTGTAAAAAAAAAAACTGTAGCGATTACTGTTCATCGTTACTGTTCCGAAATACTGTTCATCGTACTGTAGCGTACTGTTCACGTTACTGTTCATCCGAGTAAAAAAAAAAACTGTTTGGGTATTGTCTTTTTGTGCTTTCTGTCCAACTTTTGTTTTGAGTCTGTTATACTTTTGTTCGGGTTGTTAGGGTTTAAAGACAAAAAAAAAAAAAAAAAGAGTCACGTACCTTATATTGTTTTTTTAGTGTCCAAGTTGCTAGAGTGTTGCTGGAATTTTTCTTTTGAGTATTGCTGAAATTCTGTTTTGCCTATTTCTTGAGTATTGGTTGTTGTTCTTGCAAACCCTAAACACCACAACGTAATTTGGGGAAGTTCTTGAGCTTCTTGAACAAATTCTTGGACCACCAAGTCTTGTTTTGAAAAATTCTTGAACAATAAATCAAGAACCAGGGCCTTCTTGAAATTTGCATAACCTTTCATCCGTTTTCTTGAAACTTGTTGGTGTGATCTGAATTTTATTCCTTGAAGAGCCGAAAAAAAAAGAAAGAGAAAAAAAAAGGAAGAAGAGAAGGAATTGGCTCTCACACAAAGGAAATCAAGTTTCCCAAATCTTGAGTTTCCAATTTTTGATTGGTCTCCAATTCTTGATTAGTCTCCAAATCTTGTTTGGTTTCCAATTCTTGAGTCTCCAACCTTAATTGAATTCCAACAACCCCAAACGACCTAACCAGCCCCAAACACCCCCAAATCAGTTTCCAAAACCAAAACCTAAACCGTCCACAAACACCATTTACCATCCAAATACTGGCCAGAAACTCAGCAAAAAACAGCCGCTCAAAAAAAAAAAAACCAGTTCCAGCTTCAGGTAGAGTTTTTGTTTTCTAGGATTCGTAAAAAATTCTGCTTTGTGTCTTATTACTTATAGGGTAATTAATTCTGGAATTTTTTAGAGTTGAGTTGTTTTAAGAATTTCGAGAAGGAAAATTGAGAGTGAGTGTGTTTTCTTGAGTGATACACGAGTGCTCGCAAGGTAGACTAGGATACACTTGTTTTGCAGGTTGGACAATATGTCTCAAGAGGGGAACATGCCTGAGCCGTCTGAGACTGACATGTCACTCAAACTGGTGCTCCAAGCTCTTCAAAAACAAGCGGAGAGACATGAAATTGTGATGACACAAATATCCGACAGGCTGGCTGCCATTGAGATGCGAGGTACTGGAGATACATACAATAGGGCTTCGAGTGTTCAGAGTGCTGATCATGATGCGGATGATGAGGGATATCATTCTAACACCTCGATTCGATCAAGAAAAAGCCAAAGAGGAGCGAGGGAAGGTCGAGACCGACCTAGGAGAACCGATGACAATCTTGGTTCCATCAAGACCAAGATGCCTACCTTTCATGGGAAAATGATCCTGAAGCTTACTTGGATTGGGTTAGGCGAGTTGAGCAAGTGTTTGAAGTCCACAACTACTCTGAAGAGAAAAAGGTGAAACTTGCGGCTATTGAGTTTGAAGATTATGCATCCATTTGGTGGGAGCAAATATGTGCCATAAGAAGGATAAATAGAGAACCACCAATTGACACTTGGACTGAAATGAAGCAAGTGATGAGGAAACGATTTGTACCCTTCCATTATACCACAGACTTGTACAATCGGCTCCAACGACTCACTCAAGGTTCTAATTCGGTTGATGAGTACCACAAACAAATGGAGGTAGCGATGATAAGGGCCAATGTCCAAGAGGATCCGGAAGCAACCATGGCGAGGTTCCTTAATGGATTAAATCCTGAAATTAGGAAGAAGGTTGAGTTTCAAGACCACTTTGAACTTCAACAAATGGTGTCTTATGCAAAGAAAGTGGAAAAGCAAGCCTTACCTCTAAAGACACCTAGTGACCGAACCACTACATCCTCTTCCACCCCTTGGAAAAGAAATCAATTGCCAACATCCAGTGCTTGGCCAAGGCAAGGTAATAGAGAGAGGGAAAACAAGCGGATGGAACAACCGTCCCATCCGAGTGCAACTTCTTCTAAACCAACCCCGCGACCGACTCTTCCAGGAGCAAATATATCTACCAACCAGCCAAAGGCATGTTTCAAATGCAAGGGAATTGGCCACCTCATGGCTCAATGCCCTAACCGAAGCATCATGTAAATGAATGAAGAGGGAATGTGGCAAAGCGAAGGAGAGGAGGAATATGCGGACATGCCACCGCTTGAAGAAGAGGGGAAGGATGATGACCTGGTTGAAATAGAAGAGGACCCCGTGGCTTGAACTATGGTGACTATGAGAGAGCTAAATGCACAAGCTCAAGAAGATGATCTCCAACGGACCAACATTTTTCATACAAGATGCAAAATTGGAGATGAGGTATGTCTCATGATCATTGATAGTGGCTCATGTACTAATTGCGTAGCTGCTGACTTTGTTGAGCAAAAACACCTTCCATGGACTTACCACCCTAAACCCTATAGATTATCTTGGTTAAATGATGGGGGGAAGTCAAGGTGACCAAACAAGCTTTAATCGCTTTTTCTATTGGTCGGTACAAGGACCAAGTTTTATGTGATGTAATTCCTATGCAAGCTAGTCATGTCTTGTTAGGGCGTCCTTGGGAGTATGATCGGCAGGCTGATCATATTGGACTCACTAATAAGTATGAGTTCATTATGGACAACCTCAAGATCACTCTTTCACCCTTGACACCTACACAAGTGTATGAAGAACAATTGCATCTAAGAAAAGTGCGAGAGAAAAGGCAACTGAGAGAGGCAAAGAAAAAGCCGAATGTGCCTGAGGATGAGGAAAAAAAGAAAGTAGAGGCCGAGTTGAGTGAAAGAGAAAAGTCGAGTGGGAAAAGACTCAGTGAGGCCGAGGGCTTGAAAGTGAAGAAAAAGAGCTTTTATACTAGTGTGCGTGAGATAGATAGGGTCTTGAATGCACAAAGTCTTCTCATAGTACTTATGTACCGAGAAGCCGATTATTCCTCTTTTTACACACTTGGCATAATCGATTCTCTTCCTAGTACAATCTACTCTCTTTTGCAGGAATTCAAGGATGTGTTTCCGGAGGAACTACCAAAAGGATTACCTCCAATTCGATGTATTGAACATCAAATTGACTTTGTTCCTGGAGCAATTCTACCAAATCAACCAGCCTATAAAGCAAATCCGGAGGAAACAAAGGAAATCCAAAGGCAAGTCGATTCCCTCCTTGAAAAGGACCAGGTTCGTGAATCTCTTAGTCCTTGTGCGGTTCCAGTCATTTTAGTACCTAAGAAAGAAGGGATTTGGAGAATGTGTACAGATTGTCGTGCAATTAATAAAATTACTGTTAAGTATCGTCATCCCATTCCTAGGTTAGACGATATGTTAGAAGAGTTGCATGGGGCAATCATTTTCACTAAAATTGACTTAAGATCTGGTTATCATCAAATAAGGAGAAAGGAAGGTGACGAATGGAAAACTACTTTCAAAACAAAGTATGGTCTTTATGAGTGGCTTGTGATGCCTTTTGGCTTAACAAACGCTCCAAGTACTTTCATGAGATTAATGAACCATGTTTTAAGGCATTTTCTTGGGAAGTTCGTTGTTATTTATTTTGATGATATACTGATCTTTAGCAAGTCTTTAGAAGAGCATTTGCGACTTGTTTTAAGTGCCTTGCGTGAAAATAGGTTATTTGTTAACATGGAAAAATGTGTCTTTTGCACTTCTGAGGTTAACTTTCTTGGTTATATTGTTGGTGCAAATGGCATAAGTGTTGATCCCGTCAAGGTAAAGGCCATCATGGAGTGGCCGACTCCAACCAATATGTCTCAGGTAAGGTCTTTTCATGGTCTTGCAAGCTTCGATAGGAGATTTGTTAAAGACTTTAGCACTATTGCAGCACATTTGAATGAGATAGTTAAAAAGAATGTGGGGTTTCAATGGGGAAAAGAGCAAGAAGAGTCGTTTAATAAGTTTAGGAATTTGTTAACTTCAGCACCTATTCTTGCTTTGCCTAATTTTGATTTGATGTTTGAAGTTGAATGTGATGCTAGTGAGATCGGCATAGGGGCTGTCTTACATCAAAATAATAGGCCCTTGGCATATTTCAGTGAGAAGTTGAGTGGGAGAGCTCTTAATTACCCTACTTATGATAAAGAATTGTATGCTGTTGTGCGTGCTCTTGAAGTGTGGCAGCATTATCTTATGCCTAAGGAATTTGTGATACATACTGATCATGAATCAATTAAATTCCTTAAGGGGCAGGGTAAGTTGCATAAAAGACATGTGAAATGGATTGCATTTATTGATTCCTTTCCATATATCATTAAGTATAAGAAAGGAAAAGATAATGTCGTTGCGGATGCATTGTCTAGAAGGTATATTTTGATCACTAACCTGAGCACTAAGTTACTTGGTTTTGAGCACATTAAAGACTTGTATGCACATAATGCTGATTTTTCTAATGTGTTTCAAGCTTGTGAACATGTTGCATTTCAAAAGTTTTATAGGCATGAAGGCTTCTTGTTCAAAGAAAATCGCCTATGTATTCTCAACTGTTCACTTAGGGAATTACTTGTTAGAGAAGCCCATGGCGGAGAGTTGATGATTTCGGTATTGATAAAACTCTTGACATTTTGCATGAGCACTTCTATTGGCCTAAAATGAGACGTGACATTGCTCACATTTGTGATAAGTGTTTAAAGTGTAAGCAGGCAAAGTCAAGGAGTAACCCTCATGGATTGTATACTCCTCTACCCGTACCTCATGCTCCTTGGACAGACATATCCATGGATTTTGTGCTTGATTTATCAAGATCTTCTACTGGTATGGATAGTATCTTTGTTGTAGTGGATAGATTTTCTAAAATGACTCATTTTATCCCTTGTAGGAAAACAAATGATGCGCGCCATGTTGCTGATTTATTTTTCAAGGATGTGGTTAGATTGCATGGAGTACCGCGTACTATTGTAAGTGATAGGGATGTGAAATTCTTAAGCTATTTCTGGAAATCACTTTGGGGAAAGTTGGGAACTAAGTTGCTGTTTTCTACTTCTAGTCATCCCCAAACGGATGGTCAGACTGAGGTAACCAATCGAACCCTTGGTGCTCTATTTCGAGCCATTGTTCAAAAGAACTTGAAGAAGTGGGAAGAATGTTTGCCTATTGCCGAGTTTGCATATAACCGAACCACTCATTCTACTACTAATCATTCCCCTTTTGAAATTGTTTATGGGTTTCAGCCGCTAACCCCTCTAGATTTATCACCTATTCCTGTTAATGAGTGTTTAAGCGCAGATGGTGTCAAAAAGGCAGAAGCTGTTCGGACCTTGCATGAGAGAGTTCGAGCTCAAATTGAGAAGAAAAATGCGCAATATGCACAACATGCAAATAAGGGTAGAAACATGTTGTATTCGAACCCGGTGATTGGGTTTGGGTGCACATGAGGAAGGAAAGGTTTCCAGCATCTCGACGGACCAAGTTACATCCAAGAGGCGACGGACCTTTTCGAATACTAGAGAGGATCAACGACAATACATACAAATTGGAACTTCCAAGTGAGTATGGCATAAGCGCATCTTTTAATGTGTCTGACCTATCTCCTTTTGACTTTGATACAGACTTTGAAGATTCGAGGACGAATCCTTTCGAGGAGGGAGGGAATGATACGGATACGGGTGCGCAACCACTTCAACCTTGGGTCAAGGACAACATTGACGGTCCGATGACAAGATCAAGATCCAAGAAGGTGAAGGAAGCTTTACAAGCCTTGATCATTCACCATACAAGCAAGGAGCAAGCTAGGTTTGAAGATTTGATGGACCATGACGTTACTTTGTTCACTTGTACGTTTGAAGTGAAGGAATGATCTCATACTTGTTAGTTAGTAGTTGTTTTAAAACTGTCTAGTTTAGTAGTTGTTAGGCGTTGAGTATTTTATTACTTATTGGGTCTTATCGGAAAGCCTTAAAGAGCTGGCTCTTTAACCTCTTTATGCGGACCGAATTTCTTCCAGGTTTATGTGGGCCGGATTTTTGCCCTAGTTTTAGCCTATAAAAAGGCACCTCTTGTATGAGTAAAAGACAGAATATTTTACAACCAGAAATCGTGAGGAATTTTCCTTCAAGTTCTTAATCGAACTTACTCTTGAATTCTTGAGTTCATGGCTTAGGATTCAAATCTGACTTTATCGATTAGCTAATCGTGGTGTCTCTTCATCCATCATTATTTGCTTAAGGTTGCTGATTGCCTTTGTGTGTCAGAGGTCTTGAGTTCATGAGAACAATCGAGTTCAATTTCCATTGGGAGAAACGATCCAACTCTGATAATTACAAGATTGGGAGGTTCTAGGAGGGTCTTCCCCTAGGGTTGCTCATCAGGAAGAAGATCCTGCTCAGTTTCGCCTAACAAGAAGAAGGCCTGGATCCTTCAAGATCACCATTTAGGCACTTCTAGGCAAATGCACCTTATGATTAGGATGGTAGTTCATAATAGGCTTTTGGCATCTTCTGCATTTTAAACATTTCATGTGCTCTACATTAAGGATTATATTTCCCTTCCTCTGCTGGTCTGTAAAACTATTTGGTTATCTTTTGTGGTTTGAATTAATATTGTTTTTATGGATTATCTCTTTGTTCTGGATGAATATGCCTAACTCAGTTTGGCCTCTAATTTCTGATGTTGACTGCTGTTGACAATTGCTGGTTGCTGCCAATATTGCTGATGCTGTGTTTTGGTTTCCAGATTTTTGTTGATAATTGTTGATAGTATTATTGATTGATTACTGGCCTCTAGTTGATCTAATGATGACAAAAAAGGGGAGAAATGGATAGGTTCCTAATGAGGTTAAGTATAATAAAGGGAAGTCACTCTAAGGGGGAGTATTCACTCGTAAGAGGATATCATTCTGAGGGGGAGTATTCACTCCTTAATGCATTAAGTAAGGGGGAGTTGTGCCTAAATTATTTTCTTCCATCCATTGTTTTGTGATCATTAGAAAGGGGGAGATTGTTTATCTCAGTCCATAACTTTTAATGATTATAAAACAAATGGATGTTACAAATGTTCTCTAAATAGACCTTTTCAGAAATGGAGCAAAACAGGGTCAAGGATTAAGCACAAAGGATGCTGAATCTACTGTCGGACGCACAAGAAAACTGGATCAGACGTCCGACAACCTTTACATAACTTCGGATGCATAAAGAACTTTACCTTCGGACTTCCGAAGATATTGAGTCATTTCCTCTAAGTTCACTGACCTCGATCGAACGCACGTCATCAGAGCACTGGATGTTCGACAAGCGTTGGGACACTTTGGACGCAAAACCTTGAAGGCATTGGACGTCTGAAAAGAATTAAAAAAGAATTCTTAGTTTCACCTCCTACCTTCTGAAGCATAGATTGAAGGTACTGGACGTCCGAAATAATTCAAGAAAATTATTTGAGCTCACTGCCTACGTTCAGACGCAAAAAGTTGGTCTACCGGATGTCCGACACTACCAACGGCTAGTTGACTCTTTAGTTGCCTTCTAACCGTTGAAAGCATTGATTGAGAAATTTTTTGGTTCCATATAAATAGAATAAAGTCAACCACTTCAAAGCAATTTCGCACATTGAGACTACATCAGATCTAGAGTGATTAAATGTGAGAATACTCTTCAAAGAAGATTGTACTCTTAGTTGTGCAATTTTCGATTAGTTTTTCAAGTGTATTTCAATTACTTCAATAGTATAGTTCTGTGAGGGTTATCCGAATGATAGTAAAACTTCCTTGTTTGTTGTTTGATCAAGTGTGGCTTGGGGCAAGGAGGAAGTGATTCTTCCTTTGCACACAAAAGATTGGTTGTAAGTTGATCAACTTGAAGAAGTTTGCTCTATAAAGTGATATTGAAACTCAAGAGGAGTTTGGTATTTTGTTTGATATTCTACCTCTTTTACTTACTGTCTTGATATATAAATTGCTCATCTTTTCTAGTCACAAGCACTTGTGCTTTTTCATCAATTGCTCCATTATGTGATTTTTTTAGAAAAAGAGGGCAAGTACTTAAAAAGTGACTCACAACTTGGTCAGTTTTAAAACTACCTAATTCACCCCCCTCTTAGGTTGTTTTCGATCCTTACAATTATGATTTAATTAAATTGTAACTATTATGGTTTAGTTAGAAGTTTTACACGGTTGATAGAATTTAATCAATAGAAGGAAGCCTATAGTTTTACTGACTTCTAGTATTAAACCTTGATTATTAAATGTTGTTTTGTCTTGTTCTCCTTCAAGTATATAGTTACTTTTGTATTTGTACCAACCACCACACGTCTTCCTTCTTCTTCTTCTTCTGCTTCTTCTTCTTTATTTTTTCTCTTAAACTTGAAAACGAAATATTCTTCCATTTACCTAGAGAAGGAGAGGATCCTTGCTAATGCCAAACTATAATTTTAAGTTTCTTATACAATTTTTAGGCATACGGGTGCAATACAAACCTAATTTATTAGAATTTGTACTATGAGAATAATTAATTGCATGATACTACAATTGTGAAGAAGGTTGGAATGTCTAAGGTAAATTTTTTTTAGAAATTTCCATAGTAGCACAAGAGCTTTTTGAAAAGCTTTTGATATGAAACACAGACGCCTTGTACTGAGCTGGGGAGAACCAAATGAACAAGGGGGTCATCAACTCAACTAAAAACATTGTGGGGGAAAATGTGTGAGCAAAGTAAAGTTGAAGGGCATATTATAGAATTAACCCAACATTGGAAAAGAAACAGGAAAAAAAAAAAATCGGACGACAGCGTTTAGTGGAGTCCGCCAAAGAAACCTCAGCCGTTGCTTCCCACCTAGTTCTTTGCCCATTTTTGCTTCCCTCTCTATTGCTGAGAGCTTTTTCGCAGATTCAAATGGTGGGACTCCGTTAGTCTCCTTGAAATTCAAAATCAGGTACAATTTTCTTCCGTACATGATTTCTATGGCTTTGAATGCTAGATTTAAATCCGGGTTTTCGAATAACCTTAATAGCATCGAAGATGTCAAGAGTTTATACAAGCAGATGGTCAAAATGAGGCCTCTGCCTTCTGTTATTGACTTCAATCAATTGCTTGGTCGTGTGGTTAAATTGAAGCAATATTCAGCTGTTGTTTATCTCTTTAATGACATGTGTGTTTTGAACATTCCTGTTACTGAATGCTCCCTGAATATTGTCATGAATTCTTGCTGTTCTGCAAATCGCGTTGATTTCGGGTTTTCGATATTGGGGGAATTCTTTAAGCGTGGTGTTGTGCCTAATGTATCCACGTTTAGCACTTTACTGAAAGGATTGTTTAAAGAAAATAGGATTTCCCAGGCTCAGGAATTGTTCAAGAAGATAATATACGAAAAGTTATGCGAACCCGATGAGAAAATGTATGGGATTGTAGTAGACGGGCTTTGTAAAGTCGGGAACACGAAAATGGCTGTTGAATTTGTTAGGATAATGGAAAGAGGAAGAGTTAAACCGAATGCTGTAGTTTACAGTACTGTTATTGATAGTTTGTGCAAGGATAAAATGGTGGATGAAGCAGTTGCTCTTTTACGTCGGATGATTGGAAAAGGTGTTTCACCGGATGTTGTTACTTGTACTTGTTTGATTAAGGGTTTATGCAATACAGGGAAATTGGATGATGCTAAAAGTGTGTTCAATGAGATGGTGGATTTGGGTATTGCTCCAAATGTTTATACCTTTAATATATTGGTTGACGCGTTATGTAAGGAAGCTGAGGTAAAAGATGCAGAGGGTTTGGTTGACATAATGATTGAACAAGGTCAGTATCCTGATAGTTTCACTTACAATGCTTTGATTGAAGGATGTTGTTTGCAGGGTCGAGTAAACAAAGCAAGGAAATTCTTTGATACCATGGCTGCTCATGGAGTTGGTCCAGATATACTCAGTTATTGTATATTGATTAATGGATATTTTAAGAAAAGGAAAACTGATGAAGCCATGTATCTCTTCCGAGAGATATCACATAAAGGGTTAACACCTGATATTTCTATTTATAATACTGTCTTGCAGGGCTTGTTTAGGGTCGGAAGGTATGTTACTGCAGGAGAAGTTTTCCTTGGGATGCAATCTGCTAATATAAGTCCCGATTTTCATACTTATTGTGTGATGTTGCGTGGCCTATGTAAGAGTGGACATATTGATGAAGCATTAGAGCTGATTTCTAAGATTGAAACTGATGGAGTAGAACTTCATGTGTCTATGTACAATATCATCCTTGATGGGTTGTGCAAATGTGGGAGGCTTGATCATGCAAGAGGTCTTTTCAATAGTCTCTCAATTAAAAGACTGAATCCTAATGTTGCAACGTATAACACAATGATAACTGGGTTTTGTTGGGAAGGTTTGCTTGATGAAGCAAAAGAATTTGCCATCAAAATGGAAGAGAATGGTTGCTCGGCAGATATGATCACATACAATGTCATTGTTCAAGGACTTCTCAAAAGGGGTGAATTTGATGATGCAATAACATGTCTTGAAAAAATGTTTGAAAGAGGATTTTCTCTGCACTCATCTACATTTTCAATGTTACTTGATTTGCTCCAGGAAAATGAAAACAGTCCTGTTCTTGCCAAGATAATTCAGAAGTGTAATCCGGCAGGCAAGTAGTCAAAGTCATGAATGGTGGATAAATTGTACCACTTAGTAACTTGCTGTTCTATGCTGGCTCCTGAATCCACTATAAATTGGTCCTGAACTGTAATAATTGGGAAAATTAATGTTTTGAAATGGATGAGAGGTTGCCTCCATTTTGTGCTTTTGCTAAAGAACCATGACTGGTAATTCTGGAGGAGAACCCTTGGCCATATCCTGCAAACTGCAAGAAATTCCGTTTGGCTGTTCCATTTGTGCCGGCCTTTGTGATCCAGGAAGTCATCTACTGGACTGCTGAATTCAACGCTTTCTTGGCTTATGATCATGGTGTTGACCATTCAAAACTGATGAAAGTCCCCAGGGGAGGATGAGGATGAGGATGGACAAAATTTTGCTTTTGGTTTCCACGGTCCATGTGAGGGAAAGCCACAGTATTCCAGATGTGATTATGATAATTTAGAGATATGAATTCTCAAGGGTTGCAAGAACAACATAGGTTGGGTCATCAAGTATGGAGTGAGCTTGTGTCATATCACTGGGTTTCCATGACAGATTAGCCAAAGGCATAACCTAGCATGGCCTGAAGTGATAAGCTTTCATCCATATAATCCACAGATTGTGTTAATGTCCTTTGCTTTCAAGCCATTTTGGTACAACTTTGAGAATGGGACACGGGAAAATGTTGATGAGGGTCTATTACCATCTATGAGCCAATTGGTCCTATATGAATGGTCTCCTTTAGGCTGCAAAGACATAAGCATTCATTTACTGGATCCATGGTGTCACCTCAATTTTTACTGGGAGCAACAAGTGGGACCTGTACAAACATTTAACGTTGAGAGAACAGGAAATTGCACCCTGAAGACATGCATCAGCCCTTCCTGGGAGCATCATGAACTAAGTGAGTTTCAATATTTCTATTTGAAGGTAGAACTAGTAACGGACAAGTTAAATCTTGTAATATATCTCTGTTTATAGTTGATAGGAATGTCCAGTGATTTCTTCTGTGTGAAGACTTTGTTTTGTTAAGGAAGCAGACATGGATTTTTCTCTCTTACGTTCATCATTAAAATGCATTTGATCGTATTACTATTTTAAACATTGATCAACTTCAACTTTGATCTGGGATTCCAAGGAAAAAGCTTTCCCAATTA